ACCCCTTGCTCAAGCAGAAGAACCTATATATTTCAGACAAATGATTATCCAATCTCTTCTTAAAAACCTCCGGTGATGGAGCACTCACACTTGGCCTTGAAGGCAAACCATTCCACTAATTAATTGTTCTTACCATCAGGGAATTTCTAATTTATACTAGGTTGCTTCTCTTCTTGATTAGTTTCCATCCATTGCTTCAGGTGCTTTGGCTGATTCCCTCTTCTTTGTGGCAGCCCCTTAAGTATTGGAAGACTCTATCTATGATGACACTCCTAGTCCTTTTTTTCATTAAACAAGACATACATACAGTAGAAGAGTCTCCTCCCCTCTTCATTCTATAAAAAAAGGAGAAAAGCAATTTCTCACTTTTTTTTCTTTTTGTCTGATGCATTAAAATGTGTCCCCAAATCCAATAGCCATCCAGGAGTGATGGATTCCTTTTATTTTATTCTAACTAGTAAGTCTGGTGAGGAGCAGATAATAAAAAAAAATCCTTCATTAATTCCAAGATTTGAAGGATTCTTTCAACCCAGAAAAGATTCTTGTATAGTACTGGGTACTTAACTGAGTAAATCCCTTTTTTTATCTTCCTTCCTCTCCTGCTGCAAAAGATATTAATCCAACTGCTACTGTACCCAGCTCAGCAGAGAAGGACAGGTATCCCTTTACAATAACCTCTATGTCTTCTCTGTGACTAATCCATGAATCTCTTCTCTATTACTGTATTCATATAAGATGTCTAACTGAATTAAGAGTGAAGGAAGCATTAATACGGTATGCAAAAAAAACCTAAGGCTGTTGTGTCAGAGAGAATCATCTCTTTCTTTGATTGACATAGAGAAAAATTTCTAGGAATTGCCCTATAAAACAAGGGATGCTGTAAGAATCCCACTGTCTTCTTAATATATGGTAGTAAAATAAAGGAAGGGGTAGATAGGGATGAAAGGGTAGGTAAGACAACCTCTAGTGTTTTGCCAGCATTTTAAAAAACAAAACAAAACAATAAACTGGACTTTTTTCAAAGATGGACACTTCCCATTGACCAGGGTAATATTCCAGAATGTCATCTACCATTGATTCATTGATGTAAGAATTTTCCACCAGCAATAGCAGACTTGGTTAGTTTTGGTTGCAAACACACCTTCTGTCTTTTTAATGCTTTATTACAATCTGAATAGCTCTTACTTCCAATAAGTTCTCCTCAGCTAAAGTTGCTCTTAATTCTTTTCTAGTCTTCTTTTCCCCATCTTCTCTCCCAAAAGCTAGGCGGTAGTTAAGCAATTTGAACTTTACTTCTCTTCCCTTCCAAAAGTCGCATGACTTTCTGATGAAATAATTTGGTTGGCATTTTTTTTCTTCTTTCTTTAGAGCTACTATTTGGTAAGAAATTTGGCTTATTTAGTCACACTGTTCCACAAATCCAGATGTTTTCACTAACTATTGCATTGCTGTTGTTTACATACTGGTTGTATTTTATGTTTAATTTTTATTTCCTTGATCTATTAATAATAATAATACTCCCTGAAGAGAAAGTCATGAAGGAGCTTGACTCTGAACTGCATTCTAATTATTTTAATGGGGAAATTCTTTTATCTATATCACCTTACTAATACAATAATTTGTCAGATCCTTGCACCTGAGTGAAAAGCCACAGGCAGTCACACAGATGGGAAATAAAAATGTTGTAGCACTCTAACAAAAAAGGGTAACTCGAGAAAGGATCTGCAAAACTTCTAAAAAATGAGGTAGGATATGTTCTAGACCCATGATGTCAAACCTATGGCACGTGTGCCAGAGATGGCATGCAGTGCCCTCTCTGATGGCACATGAGCCGTCACTCTAGTTCAGTTCCGCTGCGCATGCGCACGTGCCTCCTGCCAGCCAGATGGTCTTCGGGTCTCTGCTGCGCATGTGCAGAGAGGCGCACACATAAGGGGGTGTGCATGCATGGAGGATGCAGGCAGGGCCCCGTGCTTCCATACACAGGGGGCCCATGTGCACATGCACGGGGGGCCCATGCAGAGAGCAAGGCATATGCGTCGGGGCCACATGGGCATTGCATTTTGGGGGTTTGGGTGCACAGATGCGCGTGCTTGCACGCGCTTTGGGCACTCGGTCTGGAAAAGGTTAGCCATCACTGCTCTAGACAATCATGGGATTGACTGCCAAAACAACGGAAAATTGACAACTTGCTGACATCTAAAGCCTCCGTAAGCACTCAAAGTGATTTAAATTTGCTATCATTGAGCAAGAGATATGGGGAGTTAGCCTTATTAGAGGAACAAGTTGAATTTAGATTCCAGGGAAAGGAAATAATCACAGTAACAACTATAGAACAGATAAATGAGCCTCAGAGCAACCAGAAGAACCTCCAAGGGAGCATAAACTAGCTACTGATTTTATAGCTTATTGTGCTTTATATTTATGAACAACTAGGTTGTCAGAAGGGTTATAAACAGATAAGGTTTATGACAGGGGTGAAATCTGAACCAGTTTGCTAACGGTTCACTGCCCACGCATGCGCACCGCGCACCAAAAGCATGCTTTGTGTGCATGCACAGTGCCAAAAGGAGGCTTGGGAAAATAAGTAGAACAGCGGGGGGGGGAATCAGCTGTGGCACGCAGCTTTCTAGGAAAGCTAAACCGTGCGGTACAGGTGATTGTTGGATCGTAGATTTTTTTTAACTACCAGGTCAACTGAACTGGTAGCTTTTTTTTACCACCGACTCGCCCGAACCAGTAGTTTTTATCGCTACCAATTTGCCCAAACCGGAGTGAACCAGTAGCATTTCACCCCTGGTTTATGACAAAGTAGAGGAGATAACTTTTGGATTGGTTTATTCATAAGTATTCAAACAATGAGGATACAAAAAAACAAAAAAAAAAAACAAAACAGGAATATTGAAGTTATCAAAACTGGTTTAGAAAAAGATGTGATGCAGAAAGTAAAATCTTGAGTGAAATCAGCAAGGAAAGACTGAATAAAAGAAAGAGAACAAAATCAACTCAAAAGTGAAATGAAGGCTCAGAGAACCTTATCAGTTCCATCAGCTCTATTAACTCAGCTCTCTAATAAGAACAGCTTTGGGATCAGACAGATTCTATGATTAAACTGATGGATCCTGCAAATTAGAAGGGTCAGCTTTAAAATAGGAAAACAGAGTCCACAGAAAGCAATTCTAAAATTAATTTTGTGAAACAATTGTGCAATGTTAAATTTACCCTGAACATTTGGGGATCAGAGAATAGTTACTATCTTATTATGATAGAAATAAATTACCATTGGATTTAAGACCAGTTTTCTTTCAATGCTTTTTCACATAGAAGACTTTTTGTGAGTCTTGTTTTCAAATAACAGCAATTACAGGCTTTCAGGATAGCTCTACTATCACTTCTTTCTTGCAAACAGAGAGAAGATACTCTTGTGAATCAGAAATAACAGTTGGCACAATGCAGAGGTTAAATCAGAGGGAAGAACAGAAATTTGCTCAATATCATGAAATCCATTTGTCTCTCTCAAGGTCATATTTAAGCAAACTCTCTCTGAGAAGGGAGGGCATAACTTTCAGAGCCTTGGTGAGGATAACTCCTTTGGTTGGCTTTTGATAAATGAATAAGAAAAATATCATCCTCAGTTTGATCTATACTTGTTTTGAATTTGTTAACATCTTTAAACAATTACTTGTAAGGACTTTTGTTTGTATTCTTTTGGAATAATCAGCCTTAAAACCCATTGCTCAAAATTACAAGTTCCTGTGCTATGTGTTCATCTTACTGTCAGTTTCCACTGTCCAGTCATGTCCAACTCTACGGGGTGGTACTCTTCTCCATTTCTTAGCTGAGAGAGTCAACATTGTCCAAAGACATTTCTGTGTTCATGTGGCCAGCACGACTATACTCAGAGGCACATGGAACTCTGTTACCTTCCCACTGAAGTGATATCTACTTATCTACTCACATTTGCATGCTTTCGAATTGCTAGGTTGGCAGGAGCTGGGACAAGTGACAGGAGCTCACCCGTTGGACGGCATCCAGGTTTCAAACCTGGGCTGTCCCTTTCCAGTTGACAAGCTCAGTGTCTAACCACTGAGCCATCGCAACTCACATGTAAATTATGTACTTGTTTATATGGAAATTAACAGACATAATGGATTGATCAATAGCCATGTATCCAAGCAGCTACCGTAGTAGTAAGCATTATTAGTAACGTTCATACTCTATTTTATATTGTTCATGTAAAACACATATTCTTCAATTTTCTTGCTGAGTAAACTAAATGATACTGATTTCAAAAGTGTAACTGTGAGGGATGGTGTTTATGCAGGGGGAGATGGTGTGATTGACTGCAGTGAAACAGCAGTTTCCCAGGAAAGAGAGAGCCTATCCCAAGGTGCAAGGAGCAGACAAGAGGTAACATAGCCCAGAGCTGGATAGGAGATAAAACAGCCACTCCTTAGAATCTCCCAGGATGTATCTGTTAAGGTAAGAGTAGTATTGGTTTAGTCTAGCAAGATTCTGATATTAGGTGTAAGCAAATAAAGAACTGAACTTTGACTGAATTGTTCAATGTTATTCTTGGGTTGGACTTGAGAGTAACTGAAGATGCTTGAGGAAACCTTGAGTATCTTATATCTGTTACCCATTACATGCTTGACAAAATAAATAAATAAATATCCTTTTTGGACAATAATATATTTAAGGCAATATTACTTCAAAAATCTTTTGTGGGATTTATACACAGACATAAAAATGCAATAGCTAGGGCTGGAATGCTGAAACATCAAGGATGGTAATCTGATCAAACTTGCAGGCTAAGGGTTAAAGTATTCCATGCAAAATATTTTCTAGCAACCTTGATGGACAGCCAATCACATCTATGCTTAGTCAATTATGGCCTTTCCAGATGACTAGACTTTCAATCTCTTAATAATCCTTCTGATTCTAATTTAGAATGTGCTCATGGTTGATTTGAACTATTTTGATTATTTGCAGCTGCAAGATATAGGATTATAGACATGTTTGCCTGCTTGTAAAGGAAGCAAGTAGAGGAAACAGATTGTCCTTCTGGTCAGTAGTTGAGCACAGAGAACTATAAGCCAATCAGTGCTTATTTGCGGGCCAATAGCTCAGTTACTCATGCTGGCCTCCCACTCATTGCTTCCTCCTCCTCGCAAGTACAAGAAAACACATTGCTAGCACACCCCCATTTCTGACTGTCACGAAGGCATATGAGCAATTCTGACTGTTTACATCTTATATGGTCATGCCACTCTGCTGCACTGCAGGATTTCAGGACCTAGAAAGTGGTGTAAGCGAAATCAACATCTCCTCTCCTGCAGGAACTCAGAACGGAGCTTCAAATCCAAGGAAGTTTGGTATAGCCATTTCTGACTTGGCAATCATTTTTTGAAAAACAGAAAGATCCACAGAAAGAAGGGACAGATGAAGAACTCACGCAGTTGCAGAGTGTGAGGCACAGAGTCTTTTGGATCACTTGCCAAATGTAATCATGCATCTCTAATTGGTTGGCCCCTTTGTCAATTTCTAAATTTCATACTCCTGGTAGGAGATTGTTCTGCATTGTTTTTTAAAGGTTTGTAGGTTTGATGTGCAGGGCCTCCAGCTGTGTGATGACCTTTTGGGGAAGCAGGAAAGATCAAGCTTCTTCAGAGGCTCTGTGATGGTAACGTACCATATTACCTGCAATTGTGAGATTTTTATTATGACATTGTTTGCAATTGGTAATCATTATTAATTTAAAATATTGTAGCAGAGTATTTGTATTTATTGTTTTGGTTATTATGGTGGCTTTTAATATTATACTGCAACTACTGTGGATGTTTTGTGGTTTTATATTTTTATTGTGTACAGTATAGATGTTGCTCTATAATTTCTCTTGATGTTCTTGATTTCCTGAAGGATTTGGAAGCATTTAAATTCAAAAGATGATGGCGGTGATGACGATGATATACTCAGCCATTTCTCCTAAAAGTGAAAAGATGAAATCAAAATACAATATAAGAAATGCTTTGATTTTGGTTTATATAACTTTAAACTGTTTAGGACTTTCAACATGCTAGTTGAAAACTTTTTATAGAACTGCAGGGATAGGGGAGGCAGAACTATTTTAAGTATTTAATCCACCACTGAAATGTTTGCCAGCCATGTAACCATGTGTCAGACACACTAAAACTGTCGTATCTGATAAAAATATGGTGTCCTTGGCAGCAACTAAATTATTCAAGTGTCATTCTTCCCAGAATTAACTCATTTCTTCTACATATGCATTTGTGTGGAACAGATAGAAGGCAAAGTGCCCTAAAATTTTTAACATTAAGATGGTTGCTTAGCAATATGGGTACAGTAACTAAAAGTATTGATGCAATCAGTGTGTGTGTATGTGTGTGTGTATGTGTGTGTGAAGAAGCAACTGGAATCACCTATATGATTGTGAACTGAACAGAATATGAGTATGGAACTGAATGGTGCAGGATATACTGCTGTAAAAGGCTTTGAATGCTTTTCATTTTCAGGACTAAAAGAAAACAGCTGTTGAACAAAGGCTTCCTAAAGAAGACACCTAAGAAACTGAACATCCTAAGACTTCTCTGCTTTCCAAACAAACTATGGGATTTCCCCCTCTCATCTTGACTATTGACCTATACTTTAATCAGTAGAATATTGTGCCAGCATTAAATTTGTTATTTCCCATTGCTGATCTTTATTGTGCTTCTATTTTTCTCTATTCTCCATCATTGCCAGTTGTCTGAATATGCCCGTTTCAACTCTTGAAATGGTGCAGGTTAATGCATGCACACTGCAGATGCCAAAGCAACTGGTTTTTTGCCCTCTTCAGCTTTCTTGCCCTCTTCCGTATATCCCCAGCTGGTGTGTGTGTGTGGGGGGGGGAGGAATCACCAATCATGGCCCTGCAGCAGGTCTATGAGTCACAAGCAGCACCTTTATTTTCTTTCTTCTTCCTTTCCTTTCTTTATATCTACAACAAAAGCAGACTTTCATATTCCTCCATACTCCATTAAGGAAACAATGGGAAAGGGGTTGTTCCTGTAATTCCATTCTTACAATACTTTAACCTTGTGCTAAACTGGTAAGGGCTGCAGAGTTAAAACACAATAATGCTGGCTGAGCAACCTACCATTACTGTGTAACTCTAATAGACTGTCGTTTAAATTACCAGCTGCCAGTTGCTTCTACAATGCCATAGTAAAGGTTCCCCTCGCACATATGTGCTAGTCGTTCCCGACTCTAGGGGGCAGTGCTCATCTCCGTTTCAAAGCCAAAGAGCCAGCACTGTCTGAAGACGTCTCCGTGGTCATGTGGCCGGCATGACTAAATGCCAAAAGTGCACAGAACGCTGTTACCTTCCCACCAAAGGTGGTCCCTATTTTTCTATTTGCATTTTTTATGTGCTTTCAAACTGCTAGGTTGGCAGAAGCGGGGACAAGTAACGGGAGCTCACCCCGTTATGCGGCACTAGGGATGCCATAAAGGATACTGAATGACAACCACTATGGTGCTATCTAAACACTCATGAACTTATAGCAGGAATCATATGCCTGCAGCTAGAGCAGGGGTGAAATGCTCCCGGTTCAGATCGGATTGCCTGATCTGGTAGCGATGGCAGTGGGTGGTTCGGAGAACCGGTAGCAAAAATCCCTGCCCTCCCACCACATGCCCAGCTGAGCCACATAATCATCAGAGGCTTTTTTTTTTTTACTTTTAAAAGCATTTTTTCTACAACCTTTTCGGACAAAAAAATGCTTTTAAAAGTTAAAAAAAAAAGCCTCTGATGATCACACGGCTCAGCTGGGATCGTCAGAGGCTTTTAAAAGCATTTTTTCTACAAGCTCTTAAATTGTAGAAAAAATGCTTTTAAAAGTAAAAAAAAAAGTTGGCCACGCCCACCCAGTCACATTACCCACCACCACCAAGCCACGCCCACATAACCGGTAGTAACAAATTTTATATTTCACCACTGAGCTAGAGTTGTGTTTTCAGAGGAATGCAAAAACAACCCATGTGCTAGGAAGTTCATTTTTACCTTTCTTATTCAAAGCCAAAAGAAGATTCACACAGTAGTACTGTATCAAGCTCTTTATGCACAAAACAGCCAAATTATGATCAACAGGATTAACTGAAAGAGAAGGGGTTATCTTGAAATTACCAGTGTGCCTCTCTGATTCCAACTACTATTAGACCTGTCTTTGCTTCCAACTTAATTGTGGTAAAGTTTATCACCCCTGGCGGTTGCTGATGGGTACATGGAAGAACATACTTCAACACTGACTGGGCTAAGGGTATCTAAAGGCTGGTGTGCTCACAAGCTGGGGATGAGATGAGGAAAGACAACATCACAGTGATATAGCCAAAGGATGTTGCTAGGGCATCTTGATTAAGTGCTGGTGGGGACACAGCCTATCTACAGTACTATTCTATCATTAAACAAAAAATCGAACTCTCCTAACAACAAATATTTGTCTATTTGATTCCATTTTTCAAAGCAGTAGCTTTATTTTATATACCATAGCAAATATTTGTTTTGTTTTTGTGCATATTTTTAATTTATTTTCTTTGGGAAAAAATATTAGAATTGCAATCGGCCCATGGGGAGGGGGGCAACCAAACAACCGTTAAGCCTACCAAATTGGAATATTGGAATATTTTTTTATTGGCCAAGTGTGATTTGACACACAAGGAATTTGTCTCCAGTGAATTAGCTCTCAGAAACAACGTGGTAATTCATAAATCATAAATCGTAAGATACAATAATAAATCACAAGATACAAATAAGTGATAAATCATAAGATACCCATAGGATAAGTGAGTATGAAAGATGAGAAGGATAACAGCAATACCCTCCTACCAGGTCAGTGGTGGGTTGCTACTGGTTCGCCCCGGATTGGGCGAACTGGTAGCTATTCATGCTGTTCCTGCCTGCAGTCCTGTATAAGCGGTGTGTTGTAAGAATAAAAAAGGGATAAACTCATGAATATCAACACTGGAGGAAAACATAAACATGTTTTATACAAATATAATTAAAATATTGAAAGGAGCTCTGTTTTATCACATATGTCACATATGTGAGGAATAGATGGATGGATAAATCAACTTTCTTTTTTGCTCTTTCTTTGTAGACTCTAGATGGCAGTGTCACTTTAGCAAACTTCCAGATAAATCAACGGTGGGTAGGAGGAATAAACTGACAGCCAACTATTGTGGTGCCCTATTGTTGGGATCCATCAAAATACTTCACAAATAATGAACAGGAGCAGCCTAGTGCCTATGGCCAGTTCTGGCTGGTCTGGTGAATATGATCCCTCCCCCATGTCTTGTCCTGTCAATCTTGTCCCCTTTTCTCTTAATGGGAAAGAGGTGGACACCATTTTCAGCCACTGCTGTACATGCAGCTCCCCATAGCTATTAAGAGGGGTGAGGAAGCTGCTTAGGTTTTGAGCACAGGTTTCATGCTCTTTCAAAATACTGTACTTTTGTGGAGTTTTGAAAAAGGACTACACCTAATTTAAAATAGGCCCATACACCACTTGTTCAGCAGGTTGGGGGAACTGGTGCAATAAAGCGGGAGGACTGTCTCTCTCAAAATTGCCTCTCTCAGCATGGAGCCACTGGGTTTTAAGACAGCTCTCCGTTTACCACATTACTACACCATTCTGCCCAATTGCTATTTGGCAATCATATTTTCAACCAGCATTAGACCAGAGATAAAGCAAGGGAAGTCATTCTCTCAAAACATGGCAACATGTGTGAGTTGGCCATCCCACCATACTCTCTTTATTGTGCAGTTTTTCCACCCCATCAGAGAACTGGTGGGATTTCAACATAATAGTGTTCTGAAATGTGTTTGAAAATTAGTAGCTCAGGTTGGTAGTTAGGCTGTTGGTTTGGCAATTTGGTTGCAAACATTTCATCACCATTTGAGGAGACATCGTCAGTGCATTTTGAGTTGTGCTGATCTGTCAGAACACAGGTCTTTAAGTAGTTTTTTATGAGATACAAATTAATCTGAATGTTGTTTGTTCGGACATTTCTGAGTCATAGTCTGATTTCGGACTGTAATAATAGTGTTCTATCATAGAGAATGTTGATAGAGGCAGTTGCCCACTTTGATGGATGCAGTAGAGGGAGCTATAGAACCTATTAGAATACATGACAAGCATTGGCTCAATTGAAGGGGCAGTTCTTTCTCTGTAAAGTAACCAATCCGTTGCTGAGGTTAGCCTGCAAAAAAACCTGAAGTGCTTTAGCCCAAATGCAGGGCAGCACTCAAGGCAATTCAGAGTGCAATTCAGAAATGGAAGACAGACATGCACTCTGAGTTCCATTATCCAATAGGGACAGTAATGATCGCTATGTGCTTAAATAGGGCAGTGGCTCTTAATCTCTGGACCACTGATCAAAACATAAATAGACCAATCAAAGGTTGCCTTTTCTTGGTAAATTGTAATAAATTACAACATTCCAACATCAACATTTGAAATATGGTACATTTGTTCAAAAGTTGTAATAATAAAAGGGAACAGATACAATTTTAGCAGCTTTTGTTTCACCCGTGGCCACATCAATTAAATAGGGCACAGATGTCACTTTCACAGTATTAACAAAACTTAATGATAGTTATAATTATGAGGATCATCATGCTTCAGCCTTAGAAAGAGTGCAGAGAAGACCAACAAAAATGATAAGGAGTCTGGAGGCTAAATTGTACAATAAACGGCTAAGTGAACTACGCTAGTTTAACCTAATGTAGAGAAGGCTCAGGGAGACATGATAGGTGCCTTCCAATACATGAGGGGCTGTCACAGGGAAGAGGGCATTGATTTATTTTCCATAGCACCTGAGGGCAGAACAAGAAGCAATGGGTGGAAGCTCTTCAGAGGGAGATTCAACCTGGAAATGGGGGATTACCTGACAGTAGGAATGATTAATCAAAGGAGCAGCTTGCCTCGCAGAGTTGCGAGTAATCCATTGCTACAGGTTTTCAAGAACAGATTGGACAACCATTTGTCCAAGTTGATATAAGGACTCCTGCCTTGAACAGAAGACTAGTTGAAGACCCATAAGGTTCCTTCCAGCCCTAAGATTCTACGAATTATTATTTGCATTTTAATTACTTATTTTTCATTTAATAGTTTTAAAAGACCAATCTTTAAAATCTAAACAAAATTACTTTATTGAAAGATTTGAGCTTTCAGAGATAATTATTTCTGTTTATAGAACTGTGGATTACAAACAGAAGAATAACAACTGGGTTCTGCAAAGAAATGAAGCTGAGCATATGAGCGCTTGCTGGCACTTGCTGGGGCAGCTGAGGCTTTGTGAGTCATGGCAAACAGCTTCACAGGCATGCAGCTCTGGGACTGCTTGCCACCTTACAAGGCAGGTGGGCAGAGGGCCTAAACACACAGATGGGGGAGATACAGGTGGGTGGGGGAGGGAGTTGGAGGCAATCACTTATCTTACTGAGGTTCTGGGCTAGGAGGGAGAAAGTTTGGAATGGTTTGGACTGAAATGGGTACCTGCAATTCCTAATTAATAACCACAACAAAGAATGATGGGATTGCTGCCGTAAGGTGGCATGGCCACATGATGTCTCACTTTATGACATACCAATTTAAAATGGCAATCCCAGTCCCAATTGTGGTCATATGTTAAGGAATATCTGTACTATTTTGTGGATCAGGACATGCAACAATAGCTTTGAGAAAGGGACAGAAATGAACAAGACTCCCTAAACTTGCACAAAAGGGGGGGGGGAGACATATAGGGGACTACCAAGCAGTTAAAAGGGGGAGCAATCATCTCTGAGAAATCCAGCAGATTTTAAAGATGACTTCTGTGAAGAAATTGGCTCTACATCCGCTCCCTCAACAGATTACTGTACTTTCAGATTTCACTGTTTTCAAGGAAGATCTCTCTCATAGTTTAAAACACAGTAAACTTACTGACCCTTGACCCAAACCAACATAAATCTATTCATAGTTGGCCAGTCTTGGCAGTTCTCATATAAGTAATCCTTGTTTTCCTTTCCTTTAGCATTCCGATTGTAGAATCTTCTTCTGGCTTCCATTCTTTTCTACTTTCCCAGGCAAAGCATCCACAATCCTATCCAACGCTTGGAAGTTCAGGGAATACCTCTAAAAATTAATAGTGGTAAAAGAAATTGTAGTTAGTCTTTTGTTTTAGTAACAACTTTATCAGTCGTTCTTCAGGGAAAAAGAGTCATAAAGAAATGATACTATGTTCATATCATTTGGAGATGAGGAAGAGCTTCTGCTGGGGCTAGAGCTAATCCCCCACAATCACATTTTCCCCACTGGGTAATTGCATTGGTAGCAGGTGGTCAAAAGAAGGGCAAGACCTCGGCCTCAAAGGAGAGGGATTTTAATCAAATTGTACCCTGATGATTTGGTTTCCCACTGATTTTGAAAAGAAAAAGAAAGATAGGCAAGACAGCAAAGGGTGGTGGATATTATGACTTACCCTTCGTCTCAGGTAGACCAAGCCTATGATGAAGAATAAGACAACAAGGAAAAATAATAACAGGCCAAATATTGTCTCAGTTGGTACAGAGGGCAAGCTGGCAAGCTGGGCACTGGCTGCAAGACAAAATTATACTAAATAAATCAGAATGGGGAAAAAAATCAGAGCAGATCAAAAACTGATAAATTCAAAAATCCATCTTTAGCTTAGTATGTGCGTATAGTATCACATGGAAAATCAATTATCTGATCTCAATTATCTGTAGTAAAATGGCAGCTACTGGATGAGATGTAATTCAGAACTGAATCGCATATATTTTGTAGTAAGTAAATCAAGTAAATTGCTCTCACCAGTAAATTACTGGTGAGAGCAAAGTTATTTTTTAATTTGATGGGCGTGATCACATTTGGTTGGATGAAACAATAAAATACAGAAGTAATTGCAAAGCACCATATATATCAAGATAAAAGTTGTGTCCTGTTTATTTAGCAAAAGGTCCCATTGTATTGCATAGTGATGTATTTCTGCATATAGAATTGTACTTTTTGCTTTTGTGGCTCCTGGAATCTTCCTTCCTTCCAAATCAACTGCTATTAAGTGATTTGATTTTAAAAAATAAGGTACGAATAACCCTGTATTCGTTCACCCTGTAAACTAAGAGAATAAGATAGAAATCTCAGTCACAACTGCTTTAATAGCTTTATCACCATTGCTGTGCTCTTTGATACCCAAAATGCAAACTGGGGTTATTGATCACTAAAGGCTGCCTAGAGGATTAGGTCATTTTGGAACAGTAAGTGAATTGGTTAAAATCAATTATCTGGTTGCATTCCAGGTATCCTTTAGGCCTGCTTTGGTTGCCTTTATGAGTGCGGAGAGACTGATTAATTCTTCTGGGCCTCTGAAGCGTTCAGTCCCTTTAACCACTGTACTTTTCTGAGTAGACTGTCTAAATTTTATGACACCACCATTCCAATCTAGAAGCCCATAGCTTTATTCTGAGGCACCACAAGGTTTAACCTACCTCTGCTTTTCAATCTCTATGTAAAATTTTTAAGTGAGATCATCTAGAGACTTGAAACGATATGCAATTAATAACCAGATGCCAACTATTCCTTCTTCTTACATTGAAAGCAAGGGAGACGATTTATAAAAACTGTCTTAAACAGTTAATAAATAGACTGTAACAAACTGTGGGTTGAACCCAGTACATTGTATGTGGGTAGTTAATCTGTTGAATAAATTGTGTTCAGCCTACTTGGGACCACAACATCTGTCCCAAGTTGCTGTTTGGGCCTGTTGTTGGAAGCGTCAGATTGTGTGTGACACTCAATCCCCCAAATAAAAACTAAAGCTTCGTTGGGGTTTGAGTTGGACAAGAAGTAATTGGATCGTCTAATTTTAATAATGTCATTGTCATTTATAATCTCAGGTCAGTAGATGCTGCTGAATTGCAACCCCCCCAATAGTTTTAGCCAGGCTGGCCAAGAGGGGGGGGGAGGATCGGTGCAGTTCAGTTCCTTTGAAGGCAGGGAATCGAGCTTTTTTTAATCGGGAGCTCCAATTTCCAAGACGACAGAATTGCTCCCCCTCCCTTCCCCGCCTGAAAAGGAAATGAGCTCAGGATCTCTCTCCTCCGCCTTCGCGCGGGGGCCTTGTTCTCACAAAGCCCGAGCGTGAAGCGTGTGAAGGAAAATACACGAACGGCAGCGCTGCTCTTCAGCCCTCTTCCCGGCTCTCCTTTGTTCAGGGGGAAGATGAAGGAGGGTCGAAGAAAGAAATTGCAGCCCGTGCAATTGACACCGGCCCCGGCGTAGGTTGGGAATGCGCTGGGGCGATGTTGTTCCAGCCCGTTACCCCATCCTGGCCCCACTTCGCTCCTCCCTTTGGGGCGAGCAGCCAGGGAAGCTGCCGCGGTTGCTTCCGCTCCTCTCAGCCACGGCATCCGCGGCTCCTGCAAGTGAAAGAGCCGAGGCGGGGCTGTGGCTGCAGGAGCCGCGGTCTCTCTCTCTCTCTCCTCCCTCTCCACCGGTGGCTGGGTGCATAAGCGGAGCCGGGGCCGGCCACCAAGCGCCTGACAGCCTGGCTCGCCCTCCTTGGTCACCTGCCGCGGCGATGGCTTCGCTTAGCCGGGTTGGGGGGGGAAGCCTCCGAGCTTCGTTTCGGGGAAGGGTTGCGAACCGAGAACCGGGGGTGGTGATGGCGGGGGAGGGGGGGAGAGCGAGGAAGTGAGCGGGATGACGTCAGCGGCTCCTGGCTGGAACCCGTCCAGGTCACGCTCCCCCTTGAACAAGCGTCTGCCAGCCCAGCAAAATTTTGAAATCTTGCGGTAGAATTTCTCCCGTGGGGTTCCGGGATAGCCTGCCCTCATGTCTTCTGGGTCAGACTATTAGATCCGAGCAGGGAAACTCTGCTAATTCAAAAGCCGGGTGAGAGGCTAACAATGGGAACTAATTAATATGATCTTGTGCGGGGGGGGGGGGTGCGCTGCGTTCTTGTTTGTTTTCAAGCCCAGTTTGTGGGTTTGCCTTCAAAGCCTGGATCACTTGTACCTTTCTGTGGTTTCTGAGCTTCATGGGAGATCTTTCAATCTTTTTGCTTATCTGAATTGGGGCAGCTGGTGAAGGGGGTAAGGGTGGAGGTTACTTTTGAATGCTGTTCCCAAACAACTTCTTGGAATGCATAATACCAGAAGACGTTTCTATTTTCTCCAAGCTTCTGTTGATCTGTTTTATCCTGGCACTGTACTGAAGTTTTTACCTCTTTTTCTTGTCAAGCATAAACATGGGAACTGATCCATATAATTTAGAGTGAAATATGCATTTCTGCAATTAAAAGAAACAATACCTGCAATTTCCAGGTGATACTGCACCGATCCCAGCTTCCCCTCTGGACCATGGGCACTGCATTCCCAGATGCCTGCATCCCTTGATGACACCTGGTAGAATTCCTGGATTGGGCCCCATTTCATGGGCCTACTGGAACCAGACTGAGAGCTGTTGCTGGATTCCAAGTCCAGCCACTTCCACTGAAAATGCTCTTTTCCTGTGTAGTAGCTGAGGTTACACATGAGGACCAAGTGAGAACCTTCAGGAATTCTTGGCCCAACAGTGCTGGTAATGACTGAAGGAAAGCAAGGAAACAGAAATCACCAATCCCCTGTCCCTCTCACCTTCCTCCTACAGCACTAAATTAAGTTAATCAAACTGCAACACTGAGACCTGGATCTGTATAAAGCATTATATTATTATGTATTATTCCCATACTCAACAACCCTAGGTTGGATTGAGGAAGAATGACTAGTCTAAAGTCATAAAATGAGCGTCTATAACTAAGAATAGATTTGAACCTGGGTCTCTTCAATCCTAGCCCAACTTCATAGCTACTACACTACACTGGCTGTCTGAATTTAATTTCAGGTTGTTCACATTTTCAACATCCTGTAGGGCAAGTGGAACCCTGTGGGACGCATTCATCCATTTATGATGGCCATTATTTTGATGTCTGAAATTCTCTTTAATTTATTTAATTTCTCTTGGACTTCTACAGTTACTATTACATTGTTCAATATTTTTTTTCTTCCTAGTATTTTTCCTGCAAGTGCAGGACCTGCTTTTTTTGCAATCAATTAAAAGAAGGAGCCCCGGTGGTGTAGTGATTAGAAATGCAGTATTGCAGGCCAGAGAAGGAATAATGGATGGAAACTGAACAAGGAGAGATTCAACCAGGAAATAAGGAGAAATTTTCTGACAGTGAGAACAATCAACCAATGGAACAGCTTGCCTCCAGAAGTTGTGGGAGCTTCATCACTGGAAGATTTTAAGAAGAGACTGGACTGCCATCTGACAAAAATGGTATAGGGTCCACTTGGACCCCCCGGGGGGGGGGTTGGACTAGATGATTTACAAGTTCTCTTCCAACTCTGTTAATCTGTATTTATCTGTAACTCTGCCCACAGTCTGGAGTTTGATCCTGACAGGACTCGAGGTTGACTCAACCTTCCATCCTTCTGAGGTTGGTAAAATGAGGACCCAGATTGTTGGGGGCAATATGCTGACTCTGTAAACCGTCCATAGAGTGCTATAAAGCACTGTGAGGTGGTATGTACGTCTAAGTGCTATTTCTATTGCCGTGCATTGGTTGTGCAATAAATTGACTGGTTGGCTTGTCACCCGACCCTGACTGGCTGAGAAAGAATGACTGGCAGCCCAAAGCCACCCAGACGGCTTTCGTGCCTAAAGCAGGACTAGAACTCAGAGTCTCCTGGAGATTTCTTTCTCAAGTTTCCTCAAAACTCATTTTCCCAGAAGCAGAAAAAAATCAAGCCAGGCAAACTTTTAACAAACGGTAATGTTCCTAGTAAAAGCAACTAGAAAACTGCCTACGAGGAATTCTAGCTATGAACATCTACAGTACTGAAAGCTCTGAGTGCAGATATGAGGGGTGGGTAAGGCAAGAATTTAGAAGAGTGGGAAAACAACCCTGCATCACGCCTGCCCACCACCAGGCTCAGTACCACCAAATATGACTCAGAGTTTCCATTCATTCTGTCTGAGTCTCAGAATCATAGAATATCAGCCTTGGATTTTCTTTCCTGGATAAGAAATCCCTCTCCCTCTCCCCGTGGTTCAGTTGTGTCTGATTCTCAGAAATTGCCTGGACAAACCCCTGCAGTTTTCTTGGCAAAGTTTTTCAGAGGTGGTTTGCCATTGCCTCCTTCCTAGGGCTGAGACAAAGTGATTAGCCCAAAGTCACCCAGACAGCTTCTGCCCATGGTAGGATTAGAACTCACAATCTTCCTATTTCTAACCTGATTCCTTAATAACTACACCATTCTGGCTCTCATATGAGCAATACAAGCATTTAAAAAATTTAAGGGAAGCTCTTTACTATATAACTTTGGAGCAGGGGTTCTTCACATACAGTCTGTGGATAGATTACATTTTATGAATTTGTATGAAAAAGAATATAACTATTTTTACTGATCTTCAGCTAAATTTTAGTTTGTCATGTCATAATGTATATAGGCAACAAAGTAATGTATTGCCCATAGACTCCAAAAATGTTTGTTAACTTCAATAAATCCAACTATCTAAAATGATTATACCTTAAAAAACAATATTGTCATGTTGTCCATTTAATGGATTAAGAAAGGATATCATATTGATACATTATTATGTATCTGTTGTTTTTTACTCTTTTGATTAAAATTTGAGCATAATTGGTTTCCCTCCATAACAATCTATTTTATTTTATGCATTAAAATATATCTTTCTGAGAAGGTCTCTATAGGTTTCACCCAATAGAGGTGGGTCACCTACTCTCAGAATTGTTCACAAGAGAAAGAGGTGAAGAGTTTTGTTCTATAGCTATTCTGACTGAGTTTAAGTCTACAAGTCTTTTGATCTGCTTGCCTCACCTATTACACTCTACATTGGCCATCAGTTCCATCTTTACAGATAGCCTGGCCAATAGCAGGAATGATAGGAATCTATGGGAATGATAGGAAACATCCAATTATCCCAAAGTGGTAAGTATTCTGGTGGCCCATGCTCTTGCCTCATAAGATAAATGTGCTACCAGTTCAAATTTTTTTCAGGATGCTAGGAGGTAGGATGGATTATGTTCCCTTAACTTTCAGGAGAAATCCCTTAAGAGAAGAATGGGCCTGCTACAAGTCTGTTCCTCACCTGCCATCACTGCCAGAGTAACATTCTGAATTATAGTAACGCCTTGGATGGTGATCTCGCAGAGATATTGGCCTGCATTATTTAATCCAACAGCTGGGAGATGAAGAGTGAAATCTTGATGGTTTTCATAACTGGGAATGGGTTTAGCCTCCAGTTCTCTCCCTGCCATGTATCTCCATTGGATGGCGACCCCTGAAATTCCATAGTTCATGGGATTGGAATTCAGGACACAGGGCAGATAAGCATCAGATCCAGCTGCTGTATAGATGACAGAGGGGGCTTGCTCAGTAAATCCTATGGAGGAGATAATAAAAATAACACTCTGTGTTTAGTGGTGGGATATCAGAGGGTGCAAAAATGAGCGATAGCTAGAATTCAGTGTTCAATGGTCTTTCTGACTCATTCAAGCATACTAAGAATGAGAGCGAAATAAGCATGTTTTTACTTACGCTGGTTCTCCCCCACCCCCCAAAGAGAAGAAATGTGAGAAAAGGAAAGATGAGAAGATGGATCTCACCTATAACTTGCAGGTTGTATCTGACTGCAATTCTCTCCCCATCTGCAAAGGTGAGTTGGCAAACCCAGTGCCCAGCGTCACTACAGTCTGATTCAGTGATAAGCAGGGTTTGACCCATAGGATGAAGCCTGTAGGAGGTGCGAACGAGGACATCTCTGTGGAACCAGAGGATGTTGGTAGGATTTCCTGGGTGGCTGGAGTTGCAGTTTAGCCTGACCGATTCAGACTCAATTAGAGGACGAGAAGGATGAGCAGTGACTGTTAAGAAAAGGAAAATTGTGTAGTAATATTCATAGAATACTTTGATCCTAGACTATGGGACTATTGATGTACTGATTGTCAGGCCTGCCTTGTTCAGAAGACCTATTTTTATGATATGCAGGAAGGGAGTGAGAAAAGAAGGGAAATCATGGTTTCTTGAAGCACTTTACCACCCCAGTTTTGATACTGTTAACAGGAAAAAATGCTGAAAATAACAAGGTAAGATGGTGGGGACTTTCATGTCCCACATAGTCTTAGTTACCTTACTGCTTCTACTCAATGGGGGACATGAATCATTTTGAAATGTTGAATCCCGTAGATGCATGCAACTTCAGAATTGCTGCTTGCTTAGCAATCCAAGCTTTTTAAGGATTCCAGCCAGATCCAGATTCTGGCTTTGTCCCTGTGAGAGTCTCCATTCCTCTCAGAGGGTTACTTTTATCTTTGAGCAGCTATCCCATCCACCTACCTGACATCACACCAAGCTCCACCAGGCAGTGCCAGCCCTCGTTCCCATGTCTCACTCGTGCTTCATAGGTTCCTGCATCTTCCTTCAGCAATGGCTTAATCTGGAGTGAAAAATTCCCCTTAAGAAAGCCAGTGTCCCAGACAGTTACTCGGCGCATCATGGAATGGCCCAGACTCTTAAGCCCACTGGGCTTCACCTTGAGCACCAAATGATGTTTCATGGAAGAACTAGTCACAAAGAAAAAAGGAAAGGAGAATGGGAAAAGGAAAAAGTGGAATTATAAAATAGAACTGCTGCTGATCCACTCCGCCCTCCATTCCACATTATATAAAACTGGGTCATTTTGTCTTACCTGCCTCCATGACGCACCCAGTGAACCTCTAATCCTTTGTACAGGTGCCTCAAGTTGTCTTTCACCGTCTGGGGACTCAGGTAGCAAGGAAGGGTCACATGTGTGCCTTCCTCACCCCACACCCTGTACTTCTCTCCTGTTAAATAAGGTATATTTCTGGCTGCAGGAAAATTATTGACCCAAATGCAAAATAAAAGACATTATGAAAATAGCTCAGCTCTGAGCCCAAACAAGATAAAGGCATTTGAAAGAAGACTCGGAAGGGGACAATCTGTGGCTTTAAAACATGGAAGACAAAGCTAGATAATAGCATATTAGGCAACAAGGGCTCCAATGCAAGGAACTGATACAAAACAATTAATGCAGATTTTCTCCACCCCCACCCCCACCCCCATGGTAAAGAAAGAACCCCCACCTGCCCTATCTTACCACTGGTCATCTGCAGAATGAGAACAAGAGTGCAGAAAAGCAGGACTAGAGTCATCCTGGCATCCGAGAGATAGGTGAATCCTCCAGCCCCCTCAACCCCTTGCCAGTTGGCCTGGCTTTGAATGGGGCTGGATGGATTGACCTGGTTTGCACAAGAGATTCAGACAAAGGTAGGAAAGATGAGTTTCTGATCAAAGGACACTTAAGGTTGCCCTTATATTGCAGATGGGCTATTGGTTTCCTGATTGCATTGGAGTGAACGTCACAGCCGAGAAATTAGCCCCAATTAAAAAAAAAAAGCAAAAAAACAAAAACATGTGCAGGAAGGCAGAATGGTTCTGAAAGCACTCTTCAATGGAAACTGTTTCTTTCTCATTCTCTCTGCTGGTTAATGACCACAATAACATTTTCTTTCTTTCTCTTTTAGTCCACTCATTAACTATTGTTTTTGCTTGCAGTGGAAAATATATAAGGGCTAATTTCTCAGGAAGTACCCTTGGTGTATTTTTCTTTGAAGTGTTGACGTTTTCCCCTTTCTGATATTTTTATTCATGACTTTCTTTGAAGTAATAAAAATAGTAATATCTGGAGACGGCAGAAGAGAAGAGAAAGAGCTGAAGAAAATCACAAAATACAATGACCTGCACATAGAAGTAGAATGACTATGGCAAAAGAAAACAAAAATAGTGCCAATAATAACCGGTGCCTTGGGTGCAACGCTAAAAAAACTGGAGCAGCCCTTGAAAACCATTGGCATTGGGAAAATCACCATCAATGAATTGCAAAAAGCAGCTTTACTCAGAACAGCTCACATCCTGCGACAATACCTTTAATACCATCAACCACAGCAACATCTGATTATCCCAAGTCCTTGGAAAGAACTTGATAGGTGGATAAGAATGCCAAATCCACTCTAAACATCTGGCTGACTGTGCGAAGAACTAGCTATAATTCATGATGTTCAAAGTGCTTCATAAGCATAGATCTTACTTAACACACAAACACAGATCCCCATTTTTGTTTCTCATAGCAAGGGGCAAATGGAGTCCCTCTAATTGAAGTGGCCAGGGACCCTTAAGTGTTCCCAAAATTGGTTTCAAAGGAACCAATTTGATTTAAAGCTGGTAGATAAACAAGCATAATCTTACTAGTTCACCTATACATTTTCCTCAAAGCCAAAGAAGAAGTTTGATCCAGAAAAAAATGTTGATATTTTTCAAAAGAATTATACATGACTTATCCTACTTCTTTCTGCATTTATCAAAAGGAATTAATTGCATTGATCCCACTTTGGTGGATCAGGGCTCAGAAGAAAGACGCCCTGAGTCTTCGGAGAGGGGCGGCATATAAATTGAAGTAATAAATAAATAAATAAATAAATAAGAAATGGCCAGGAAATAATTGTGTTAATGCCACCTCTTCTTAGCCCAGGCTACTTTTGCCCAGTGGCAGAATAACCCTTTGTCAATTACCAATTTATCAAAATTCGGTCATTTGTTCATTGTGCAAACGTCATTGAACATTCAGAGAATTATTCCTCATAAAGGAGTTTTTTTTCTGGCTATTTTGGAATGTGTATCAGAGAGAAGGAACTTATTGTATAAAAATACAGACAGGGTCTTCTTTCTTTTTCTTTTTTCCTTAACAATATGCTTATTAAAACTTTGCAGGGCCACCAGCATCTATGTTTTTTCTTGAGCCATGAAGGCCAAATACTAACACTGATCTGGAGATGGAAAAGAACTGTGTATTTTCTTTGGCCATTTGTTTAAACAATGCTGTTTACAATGACGTTCATAGGAAATATTTGAGCCTTATGAGAAGGCCCCTAAGCCATTCCCAGAAAAGAAAACTGAAAAACAGAAATCTAGAATAGTGGAGTTTGTATATTATCAGAAAATGGTTGTTAGGGTAAATTCTCTGAAATGCCTATAGCTAGAATGTTTATGATGCAAGGAAAGAAGGACAGAAGGAGGAAGGAGATCTGAAGCGAAGTTCTGTATAAATTCATTTGAATGTGAGTTGAACTTTCTATATAATTGTGGATCTTGCCTTATTACAGCCTGAGGAGGTAGTTGATGCCAGTGTGTAGATGTTCCAAAATGCCTAGGGAAGGATATAGATGTACAACCAAACTAAAAATGATTTAACATTACCTCAGGGTAAATAACATAATTGAGATGATTGCTTAGTTCTGAAGTTTCATTTGTTTGGCTTTGGAGATCAAGGCATATATGGTACACCTTCCTCCTATTTTGTCTCATAATAATATAGAATCAGTTGAAAGAGGATAAGCTTCCAAAGTCATCTTTGGAAGACAAACTTCAAAGTCAAAATCAATTTCAGGCCTGAATGGGATTTTGAATTGGCTAAGTGACAGCATCTGGCCAATCTTAATTGAGCTTAATAAAGATGTACAGGGATAAAGAAGGACTAGGAGTGACATAATAGCAGTATTCCAATATCTCAGGGGTTGCCACAAAGAAGATGGGATCAACCTCTTCTCCAAAGCACCTGGCAGGACAAGAAGCAATGGATGGAAATTAATCAAAGAGAGAAGCAGCCTAGAACCTGACAGTTAGAACAATTAATCAGTGGAACAACTTGCCTCCAGAAGCTTTGGATGCTCCAACACTGGAAGTTTTAAGAAGGGGTTGGACAACCATTTGTCTGAAATGGTATAAAATTTCCTGTCATTCTATTCTAGTGAAGAAATAGTGCCTGAATGGGAAACACCAGGAAATCCTATGGTTATAAAGTTATGAAGTAGACTGTGAACTAAAAAAAAAAGTATCTTGATGATGAAAGGAATGGTAAACCATTTTCATAATGCTACCATGGAAGTAATATGATTATGTCAATAAAGCCACTGCGTATAGCTTGACTTGGAGACCTTATCATTACATCATCCCTGGTCCAAGTCTGGCACTCTAACCACTACAATGGCCTTGAATAAACAGTAGTTGTTCTTGTTTTCTTCTGGTACTTGTCTACCTGTAATTCTTGCATTTCTTCAATTTATTCAACAAGAGGGAAGATGTTTAAGCTGAAAGCAACAACAAGCCAGCTTTTGGAATTTGCAGAAAAACAAAGAGCTGTTTTTTATACAAACTATTCTTTCAGGCGATAGGTAAGGTTTTAGGCATCTGTAAAAGTGCTACCATTATTCATGAGTAATTTGGAATTCGTGGTGTTTGTTTTGAATATGTGAAAGAGGTACATTAAAACTTATTTTCCACTGACTTTACGTGCCAAAACATTTTTACCAATTTTCCATCCTCATAGGATGTCTTTGCTGTATACCTTAATAGAAAGTTTTCTCTGAGTTCTGCTGTAACAATAACATGCTTTGGCTGAATGACGCTTCCACAATTCTCAGAGACTGGCTTCTGACCTTGCACGTTGCCCCAGGAAGTTCAGAACAGAGTTGCTACTCAGCTATGGGAATGTGCCATTGAATAACCCCACTGGGTCTTGACCCTTTCCAAACCCATTAAAAATTTGCTACTATTCTTTGTAGTCTGTAACCAGGGAAGGGCTGAGGGGGTTAAGTAACATTTGGAGGCTCGAGTTTCCCAGCTTTACACGAATTAAATTTATAAATAAAATATTCAGATCTCTATATCTGTAGAATCAACACTTTTTATGAATAAAAATCTGCTTGATTCTTCCAGTAATTGCCAAAGGCTTCCCTTCATGTACTCCAGACTTCTGAAGTGAAGAGAAGCTGGTAAGAACAATTGATCAAATGTTGCATCTCAAACGTGAAATGACCCATTCATGAGGAAACTTCATTTAGCATATTTTACTTACTATATTGTTAATCCATTCACAATTAAAATTTTAAATAAACCTTTTGGTTTCCATCAAATATTTTGTTCTTTTCTTAAGCCTTTCCGGGCAACATTTTCTGAATGATTTGTTTGTTTTATTCTAGCTTTTTAATTTGATATTTGCCTGGATTATTATATGACTATTGTTTATTTTATACAGTATGAATATTTTTGTATTTTTTGTGAATAATTTGTGTGACTTGGTATCCATTCGTGCAATGGGACTTCTCTTTTCTCTTCCCTGATTGTCCTTGTATGTGTAGATTTTCTCAGGAATGGTACCCAAACCACTGGAGAAATTTGGATGCATGGGCAGAGCGCTAGAAGAAGAGCGGTCAATAGTGAAGTCTCCATGAAAAGTTAACATGTAGTAGTGGTCAATATCTGTGGGTACATCTGGTCATGTTTGCAATTATAGGTTTGTAATTACAATTAGTAATTAGTTTGTTTACAATTATAGTTCTCGACTTACAACCAAAATTTACATTGCTAAGTGAGACATTTGTTAAGTTTTGCCCCATTTTACAACTTTTTTTGCCGATGTTGTTAAGTGAATTATTGTAGTTGTTAGCAATATGTTGTTAAGTGAATCTGGCTTCCCCATTTACTTTGCTTGTCAGGAGATCACAAAAGGTGATCACATGACCCTGGGATACTGTCATAAATATAAGCCAGTTGCCAAGCATCTGAATTTTGATCATGTGACCATGGGAATGCTGCAACTGACATGAGTGTGAAAAATGATCATCAATCACTTTTTTCAGTGCCAATGTAACTTTGAATAGTCACTAAACAAACTGTTGCAAGTTGAAGACTAGCTGTATTACAGATAACGATATGGGCAAAGCAATAAATAATGAATGAAATTAAGCAAGAAAATAGCAATAGCAGTAGCACTTAGACTTATATACCACTCATAGGGCTTTCCAGTTTACAGAGTCAGCATATTGCCCCCAACAATCTGGGTCCTCATTTTACCGACCTCAGAAGGATGGAAGAAACTGCTGGCAGTCAGCAGAGTTAGCCTGCAATACTGCATTCTAACTACTGTGCCACCACAGTTAGATATGTTGGTTGTCTATGAAACTAAGAAAGGGAAAGGATGTAATAGATGAAATACTTTAAAGAAGAAAAAGCAGTATATGAAGCTGTGTATGAATATGGTAGAAACAAAGTTCACTTACAAGGATAAAAAGATAAAGTGAAGTGAGAAGTGAAGTGT